TAACATTTAATTTCCAGTTCCTAAACAGTAAATACTAGTTTGGATTTTTACAAAGGCTGGGTGATTTTAAACAGTCCTCCAGCTTCTGACCTTTAACATGTCTGTTGCTCTAGGGTAGGTTTTTCCTTTGTGTGGCTTTCTGCACCTCTACAGATTTGAAGCTGAAATACATTTCTCCTGCAAACTGCAGACTACCCACAATCATAAACAAATTACACTCTCTGTGTCAACATTTGAAACCAAGTCACTAAATCATAACATGCTGGGATGGAATTGCTGCCCCTATCATCTACCACTTACTGTTATCAAAGCACATAACTGGATTAGTGGGAAAACAGCTGTATTACTCATACATTTAAGCTCTTTCAAACAGCAGGTTTTCTTTCAGCAACAAAGCACAGCACTTCAGATAAGAAAAATGCAAATCCCAGAGGAAATCATGACATATTAACCCCTGGCAATCTTTACATGACTTAATAGTTCATTCAACCTTTTTCCACTGGAAAAAATTGCAAGAACTATATTAAATCAGTAGAACTAATGCATTTTTGCACATCTACTTTTAAGCTTTTTCTTCTCTAGGATCTGACCATATAGCAAACATGGTTCAATAAATCATCCTGTCAGCTTCTAGAAATGATTGGCATGAGCTTAAATCCATGTCTCTCAGCTGTGGGCATGAATCATCATACATATGGGTTTTGTGGGACAACGTCTTGGCAGAGGTTAGCAGTAAAACAGCTCTCTAGTTAAATCAAAACCTCATTACTAAAAACTCTATGGATATTCAAGCTAACAAGTCATAAAACAACTGTTTCTTTCTTGGCCAAAAGATCCAGGGGGAAAGAAAAATTGCGGATAACTTCCAGTTATTGATAGTTTTCTCATAACCATTCGCTAATATTGTATTAACTTAAAATTTTTACTTAGCTTTTTAGACTTTTTAATTAGCCAATGATGTCTAATAGAAGGATGCTTCAAGAGAAAATGTCCTTAAGCAGTAATATGAAACACATAGAATGAATCTACATTCCTTTCATCTAGAACAAAATGTTTGAGTTGACATTTTAGGGTTTGGAATTATTAAGAAAGCACTGGAGTTGGACTTGATTTAGACATTTAATTTGTTATGGAATATTCTGTAAAGAATAATGATCATAGTATCATAGAATCATTTAAGTTAGAAAAGACTTTTAGGATCATCATGTCCAACTGTGAACATAGCACTACCAAGTCCACCACTAAACCATGTCCCTAAGCACCACATCTACACATCTTTTAAATATCTCCGGGGCAGTAACTCAACCATTTCCCTGGGCATCCTGTTCCAGTGCTTGACAAGCCTTTCATTGAATAAATTTTTCCTAATATGCAATCGAAACCTCCCCTGGTGAAACTTGAGGCTCTTTATCCTTGTCCTATCACTTGTAGCTTGCTTGGGAGAGGAGACCAAAACCCACCTCACTACAACCTCCTTTCAGGTAGTTTTAGAGAGCGATAAGGTCTCACCTGAGTCTCCTTTTCTCCAGGCTAAACAACCCCAGTTCTCTCAGCTGCTCCCCATAAGACTTGTGCTCCAGACCCTTCACCAGCTTCGTTGCCCTCTGGACACACCCCAGCACCTCAGTGTCTTTCTTGTAGTGAGAGGCCCAAAGCTGAACGCAGTATTCAAGGTGCAGACACACCAGTGCCAAGTACAGGGGAACAATCACTTTGCTAGTCCCACTGGCCACACTATTTCTGATACAAGCCAGGATGCCATTGGCCTTCTTGGCTACCCAGGCACACTGCCTGCTCGTGTTTAGTCAGCTGGCGATCAACACCCTCAGGTTCTTTTCTGCCAGGCGGCTTTCCAGCCTCTCTGCCCCAAGCCTGTAGCGTTGCGTGGGGTTGTTGTGACCCAAGTGCAGGACCCGGCACTCAGCCTTGTTCAACCTCATACAATTGGCCTTGGCCCATCGATCCAGCCTGTCCAGATCCCTCTGTAGAGCCTTCCTTCCCTTGAGCAGATCAACACTCCTGCCCAACTTGGTGTAACTGCAAACTTACTGAGGGTGCACTCAATCCCCTTAACCAGATCATCAACAAAGATATTAACCAGAACTGGTCTCAATACTGAGCCCTGGGGAACACCACTTGGGACCAGGTGATCTTTTGTGTATCACCATACCTCTAGATGATCTTCAGATCATTTAGAAAAAAGTATAATTCGATTATTTTAAAATTAGACAGGAATTAATGAACCATCTGCCTTTTAACACAGTACATAAACCTGATAAATCATTAATCTTTTCACCAAAGGCATAAAAGGAAGTATTAAGTGGGAAAAAACTAAGCAGCAAAATGAAGAATTTAATATTTGAATAAAGATGAGATCTCAGACCTTCTAAGAAATCCTCCTAAATCAAAGTCATGTATGTAATTTTCAAAGATCTAACTGAATGATCAGAATAACAATCAGTCTCGTGTTATTTTGCTTCAAGTGTCAAGATATCTGAATCAAACTGAAAAACAAAGCAACATACATGAAACTAATACCAACTTTGTAGTGGATGAATGCTTCATAAAAGTTAGGCCTGCGTAATGCTTTTGTGACTAAACTTAAAGACAAAGAGTACTGAGTGTGATAATATATCATCTTCTTCAGCAGTGGCAGCTCTGGTGCTTAACTTTGGCTTGAGGCTTTTGTTGGACTGAAAAAAAAACCAAACAACTAAAAACAAACAAACAAACAAACAAAACAAAACCAAGAAAATTTTCCCCCAAAAGGCCAAACTTCTCTGTTTATTTATCTTGCTTAAAGAATGAGTTGTAGTAATACAACCGTTTTTTTTCATATGATTCCCTTTCTATCACAAAATGTCAGAACACCTCTCCCACAATTCCAACATGTATATCATCTGAACACATGAAAACATAGTTTATACAAACATAATTGCAATCCTGAAAGGCTCTAATAAGGACTTTTAAATTATAAGTCCACAACACCAAATAGCAGTTTATAAAAGATTTAGACATGTTATCTTCTATTATGTATATTTCTGTGAGTGTTGCCCTCCTCTGAGGATGAACTCAGCATGACCAAAAAGTCCTCTTTGGTTCTGCAGTTAAATATCTGAAGTGTGCCTCTAAAGTTCATTCAAAGAAGAAAGATCCTTACATATTGTAAGCTACAATCCACTGGGAAGATATACTGTAGAAAATATTCAAAGATTCTTCATCCTTTATCGACACAAATTCCAACCTTGGTGCTTCTCTAGAATAACACTGAACCTTAGCTAATAAAATACCCTGAGACTAAGGAAAGTTTAGCATTAAGACACACTATTTCTAGTCAGCTGGGAGCAAACAAAGGAAAGAGTTTGGAAAGTTGTGTAAATCGGGAGGTAGTAGGGGTCCAGATTTTCCAACGGCAAAAGCTGGCACAGCTCCACTAAACTCAGTAATCAATTTCCAGCAGTTTAGGATTACAGTCTTTATTTTTTTCAAACCAGTGAACCTAACAACAAGATTTCAGCTCTCTAATATCATTACAGAAAAGCTTATTTCCTTTAATAATAATAATAAAAGCATTAGTTTATTTTTTTTTTTCACTGCAATTTAGACTAAAGAAAATGGTCTAATCCACTATTAAAGACTTTAACAAAGGAAATGCCATTGTGAATAAAACCTTCTCTCTACTACTTGGAGAAAGGTCTAGCTTGACTGACAGCAAACGATGAAGCAGTAAGTGCTGTTCAAAGAGATTTCTGATAGTGATATTTCAGGCCTTTCTCCCCACAGGCTGGCTACAACACATTTGTAGAAGTCAAAAATTGCCTCCAAATTCATTCCAGTTACTCACCACACAGGCTGTCTCTTGTCATTAAGAGTATGTCAGTGTTCCCATCCTAAATCCTTAGAATCAAAGCTCTGTAGCTCAACAGCTTAATAAAAAAAAAAAAAAAAAACAAAAAAACAAAAAGCCTTGCCCAAGGCTAGAGCATGACTTCCAAGGTATCAGCCTGAAAACTGAAAGATGCCCATACCATCTCACCCTTCCCCAAATCTATTTCATTTTGCCTTCAGCTTTATTGAAAACTGTAAATTTCCATTTTAAATTCCAGACAAGTATTAGAAAGACTAAACTACCATTCAAAAAAAAAAAAAAAAAAACCAAACCACACCTATTTTAAAGAACTATTTAATAACTATTAAATAGAAACAGAAGTTTTAAGTCTGGTAGTCAAGTTTGAAGTGTAATAATTATAGGTAGTACTAAAGTTTCAGATCAAATTCTGAAAGATCTCAGCTGCTTAAAAGCCAGTCCTGAAAAAGCCAGCATCACCCTCATTTGAAAATCTTTACATTCTTGTCCTCTTTCTAACAATCCTTTGACCTGCACATCACATATGCTGTCTCTGCATGCATAAGTTATGTGCATTTTCAAGTTCCTTCATTGATTCTCCCATTGTATTACTTATTATAGTAAAATATTGTTTTGCTACCCACCAAGTTGGCAACCGTAGAACTTCTCAGCAACACCTCTTCAGCATGTCAGATGTATGGCTGTACATATCCTGTCATCATGCATCAAATAACATGAGCAAACCAAATGCCTGCTCTGTGGAAGAAGGAACTTTCCCCTACCTCCTCTGTATCATTTTATCTCCTACAACAATATAAAATCTTGGAGCCACCAATTATTTCAAAAGAATTTGCATATGCCAGTCAGATAAAAGATTTGTTACACAGACCAGAATAATATATTGGAAAGGAGAATTTGACTGCACAGAAGTTTGTTTCAATGGCTTCTGCCTTCCACTCAAATCTGTAGATAGCAACAAATGTAGGACTTTCATTATACTTTACAAGAAAACAATAAGCCAAATGTGACATTTTTCAATATATTTTAAGTCTCTTAGCAACTTAACATTCAAGTATCTCCTATCTCGCATTAAAAATAGTTTTCTTATATCTTTGTTGACAATGCAAATTTTGCAGAAAGAACCGATACTCACTGAAACTACATTCACAAAGTCATCATCAGACAAGGTTTCTAACATCTCAATGACTGAGGTGCGGATCAGCTTCAATGTCAGTCCACTGACACTCCCGCTCCTAACAGAAAACCACAAGATAATAGAAAAGTTTAATTAAAAAAAATGTATTTAAAATGCACAAGGAAAATATAGAGCACCTACCAGCACTCCCACCAACTTTCACACTAAAATTGTCAATAATTCTCCTGAATTCTCCAACTCATCATTAGTGTTATTACATTATTAAAATAAAAAATTAAGTCCAAAACTGACATTCAAAGCCCCAGTCCTGTGGCTCAGAGAAAGTCATAACGATACCTCATTTCCTCATTTTAAATTCAAGAAATCTGAAAGAGTTTACCACCTTCAATCAATTCATTATCTAAACATTTTATACTTCTACACACAGATTTACACCTTTAGGATTTCAGATACCCAAATGACAGCTTGTTTGATCCAAGGCAAAACCTAAGTTGAAGTGAAGAAATAACAAATGTTGTTAAAACTCGCTGCTGATACAAAAACACTTTACCACATTTAAAAGGATTAAATGCAAATTCTTTTACTGAGAATTTTTTCAGCATAAAGCAATCCATCTGACACATCAGGTTCAGCCCCTCAACATTAGCTAAACAAAGGAAGCCTTTCCAAGGCAAACAGAGAATTTTTATTAATTTCTTTGCTCACATTCTATTAATATTTTACAGTAACCAAACCTGGCAATTTTTAAATATGTACAGTAAAACATGCAAAGTCTGCATACATTCTCATCTTTCAGGCTCATGAAAACATGATTAATTCTACTGTAATGCTTCAGTAATTTGGTTTTAGGTTTGTGTTTTTCAACAAATCTTGGCATGCACATGAGAAATTTTCAGTTGATTACTTCAGTAACTAAGAAGCTGAAAGCAGAATAATATTAAAGTGATTAAAAAACCCTTCCTATTCCCTAGTTGAAATAACTTTCAGGGGTGGTTTGGGTTTTGGAAACACTTTTTCCTGTGTATTTATTTTTTTCATACCAAGATTTTTGATCCTTGCATATAAGAACTTCTCTATCCTCTCTCCATTTTTCAACATAAAAAGATTTGTTCAATATATCTAAGTACTGTTATTCCTCTAATATCAATATCCAGACATTCAACACTTACGCATCAACTAAAATAAGCATGTCTTTGGGAGATGCAGCTCCTTGGATATACCTGAAATAAATAAAGTGTATGAATGACACAGATTTGAAAACACATTTGTTGCGTGTGATGGAAGACACTCTGTGATCTCTAAACTAAATCTAGCTAACCCAACAAAATCCTCCTATTATAGCTAGTAGAAAACCATGTGCTATCACTTTCTCTCTTGCTGTGTCTTCTAAGTAAACCAAAATCTAAATCACATTAGAAAAGTCTGGAAGTAGGATATACTGAACAAAATTCACTATTTTTAGATGTTGATAAATGAATAACATGAATGTTAATTCAGAGGTAAAGATCTTGATGACAGATGAATTACTGTGTCAGTGCAGCTTAGGGAGAAATACTTCATCCTTTGAAAGAATATATTCAACTAGTATGAATCCAAGTATCAATATGCCATTAGAGTTTTACAGAAAAAAAATAATGAGAAACAACCCCATTGCTGTCTTGTTTTTTAACAATCTAGTGATCTTCTTTTGCTTGTCTAAACTACAGAGACATATTTGTAAACACCTGCAAAAGTCTGGAAGAATGGCTCAGTCTAATAATTGGAATTACATTTGATTTTGGCACAAAATCAAAGTTTTTAATTGCTTTAATTATTTGATATTTATCCTCCTATGAAAATGTCTATGTAATGCAACAGTATGATGCACTATAATGAATATTGCATAAAAAGTGGTACGATTTGAAAATTGTTTATTCAGAAGAATTAACTGATTTTTAAAAAGAAAATAAAAATATCTAAGAGTAAGGAGTGTTAGATATAAATAATCTGCAAAATTCATCTTTACAGTCTTATCTAGAAAGTAAGTGACGTAAATGCATCAGTCCTTTAAAGAAAGCTTACCATGGTCTTCTACGAACATCATACAGATCTATTTTGTTTGGAGTTCGACTTTTATCTACCCATGGGGAAGCTAAAAAAAAAAATGTGTAGAATAAATTAAAATCTAAAATATTTTAAAAACAACGATATAATAAATCAATATCACAGACTTTGCACTATATAAATATAAACATTTGGTATGGATAAAAAATGTCTGTGTAAACTGTTTTTGAAATACTTATATAACCCTATATATATGAGCATGTAATATAATGCAATCGAACTATATGTAAAGACCTTAAATAGCCAAACTGTATTGAATAAACAGCTACTGACTGTAATTGACCACTGTCTTCAGTGGAACCAGAATTTCAACCAAAATACTTCAGAATATGAAATAACTCTTTCTTGGACAAGAAAATACTTAATTTTAAAAATAGTTATAAGTTAATCAAAGTTGTATACAATAATACTGTACTGATCTAAAGCTCAGTTATGCATCTAAAAAATTATACACTGACTTGAGAGATTTACCTAAAAATGCAAATTAGAAAAAACCCACGAAAGTATCATATTTTCTGAAAAAAAAATGAGATGGAAATATTCATGTATTTGTAAAGAAAATGTTAAGATTAATAACCTTTTGCAAGCATTTAATCTAAGCTTTACTATAATTTTCAGCAATGGTAGGAATCTTTTCCTTACTGAAAAACAAAATGAGCCTTTCAAAACCATTTGACAGCTTAATGAACACAAATAAAAATGCAAAAAGTTACATGAAATGAAATAATGTTCTGCAATTTGCTCTCTCAGTGTATGCCAATAACATTGGGGGAGCTATTTCCTGACATTAATCATTTTTCTGTCTAGACAATAAAGGAAGATATAGGCAGCTCCAGTATTCTTCCTGAAAAAGCATTCATCTAAGACAAATGGGAAGAATTGTGCTATCTCTACCCATGAATATAAAAGAAGCCACCAGCTTAGAATAGCTGCCTATTTTTGATTTTACTAAGTGAACCCTTTCCTAAGTGACAATAACCTGAGTTGGCACATCAGTTACCAGAACATTTAAACCAAGCATAACCCACAGGACATGTGTCAGTAGACATTTATCACCACAGAAAATACTGTATATTGTTGCACACCAGAAGAACTTTATACCAGTATTGTCTATGATCTCAGATTAGACTACCTGACAGGTCCTTTGTGACCTGAGGATAAGGGTGTTTGATATTTCCAGAAATGAGCAAATAGAGCTTTTGAGACTGGTATATGTCAATCTTGTAACTTAAGTATTATTTAAGCATGCACAGGTTAAATTCACCAGTATTTTATGACCCTGAAGCCATGGTTAGCACATGTTCAGTAATGGAATTTTTGTGTCTGTCCAGACTAATCTATTCATTGGAATTCCATCTAAAAATCCATCCCTGAAGTACATTCCCTGAGATTTTCAAAATCTGCATCCAATGTCCTGATTTCAGTTTGTATTATGAGTGGTTTAGGTAAAACAGCAAATATAATCAAGGTACTGACCAACACTGCTATATCTTTGCCCAAGCTCTCAGTCTTTCAAATGACATCTAATAAAAGGCTACACTCTATTAAATCCTCTCAATCGACCCATATCTTGGACAGTCTTCATAAACTGAGAATTATCGGAATGCATTCATCTGAATTTATTTAAAAAAACAGATAAATTGTGATTTACACTGCTAGTGTGACAAGAACTCTTAGCAATTTCCCCTAAGAAGTGAATTAAAACTATTTATTTTTTTTAATGTTATGTTTTTCATTTAAAAGGTAAGTCTAACTCCTTAACTGCAATCTCCTAAACAAATCGATGGTGGTTCAAAGAGAATTTGAATGCAGGAGTTGAAGAACAGTGCTTCTGACATCATCATGTTCTGCTATTGACAGTGGATACTGACATAGTATTCATTTAAAATTGAACCAATTTTCTAAAGGCTCAGAAAATAACAGACTAGCTCCTTAGCTATAATAAATTATCTACTGAAAACCATCACATGAATATTTAGCTACAATTTATCTGATGTCATAATCTTCAAGATGATAGCATAATTTACCTCACATACTATTTTGAACTACAGTCTAACTTTTCTAAGTTCTAAACTAAAATTTGCAGAAACATGGCTTAAGGGTTAAGATTATATTTTGTTTGTGTAACAGAAGGCAATATGAGAAATAATCCAACTACATTTTTCTGCAAAATTTGAGAGCTACAAATATGTTCATGTAATAACACCTGACAGGTTAGCACATCACCTCCTTGAGGACAACACCACTTCCCTAGACAGAACACACTTTGGAATTGGGCCCTTTAGATCAAACAGTGTGACAACTCTTTCAGAAACATGAAGAGGCAAAATTAGTACTAACATAAACTTATAAGGAAACACCAAATAATAAAATGTGAAATGCCTGATATTTTTCCTAATATTTACAAAAGCACTAAAAGGCTCTCTATAACAAAAGCTGGGGATTTTTAACTGGAATACAAACCAGAATAACACTTTAAAAATTATTTTATTTTATTTTATTTTATTTTATTTTATTTTATTTTATTTTATTTTATTTTATTTTATTTTATTTTATTTTATTTTCCCTTCCCTTTCCCTTTCCTTTCATTTCATTTTCCTCTACGGAGAGAATGTTCAAAACTTCTCTTTGAGACAGAGAAAAATGAAGGATCTGAAGACAAATCTTACCAAATTGCTCTTCAAAGGTGGTCCTTCTGTTAAAAGTTGAGCAACTAAGCCTTGCACTCAGATCTACCATAGTTTTTCAGTAATTTCCTGGACTGCAACAAAGTTCAAACTGTCATTTTCTGGCTATATCTATATTAGTAAGTTAAAAAGCACAATGGAAGGGAAGACATTCACCAGAACTAGACTAAAAAGTATTACAACAGTCCAGGTATACACAAAAGAAACTGAATAAACCACTCAGCACACTACTTACAACCTATCTAATTGTTTTAGAGATTACTGTGAATGGTAACACAGTTTTTCATTTTGGGAGACAGACTGAGTGATGAACACAACAGCTAAATTCTACTTTCACTATCTTGGCCCTTTTAGCATGCACAGTTCTAGAAAGACTGTAATCAGCTTCAGAGATCTGGAGAAGGTTTTTAAAAACATTTTTTCCTATTATAAAGTTAAGCCAATATTTTCTGTGATACATATCAATAAGTTTATTTTTTTCTAATAAATATATTACCTTCTGTTGAGACAAATATAACAGTTACATGCTTAAGTATCCACGTGAGGAATTCTTTCTGGATTTATGCTGTCACTGCGAAATTTTTCATTAGATATTAATGGGCGCTGGATCATGCAAACACCAATTAAGAAATATAACGTTTACTGAGAACACTAGTTCTATTGATCTTTATGATGTTTTCTACAACAATTTATGTAATCTAGTAGTAAGTCTCTGCATGGCTAAACATAAATAAGTACTCAGCCCTCATTATGTAAAATTTCATTCACACCAAAGAAGTGCTGAATTCCCTCTTTAACATCAAGAATAAACATGAATAAATTACTCATTCATCCTAAACTCTCTCAGGATTAACACTCTTAATTGTTGATGGCTTTGAATGGTCTCAAACCTATTCACTGGTTATGGTAACGTTCTGAGTATTTAAAGACCTTATTGAAATTGCTATTACTAGGAAACTGCAATTCCCTTAGGACATTTGATCTTCAATGATCTAATTTTAATTTACCCTGATTTAAAAAAATAATTTTTTAAAAGATGATAAATGCTTTATATGCAAAAATACGTAATTATGCACTTATAATTGTACAAGAAATAATTAGATGGCATGGAGATGACTGAAAAAGAGACGTGTTGCCTTGGTCCATGTACAGAACACACTATAAAGCCATTCATGGAAACTGGCTTACATCTTAGTGACAAAAGCCACTATATGGTCTAAGATGAGAGCAAAATGAAATACACAAAAAGATGATTACACATTTTCCTAAAAAACTAAAATTGAAGATCAAGAATTTTGAGATTTATGGTTTTATTTATATAATCTATTGTTTAAAACATGCATTTTAATCAGATGCCTTGGAACCTGGCTCACCGAACGTCTTGAAGAAGTCAGCCTCACTGTGTTTCACAGTTGCATACTAATAACTTTGAACTATGTCAACACCACACAGCTCTCTGTTGCATACATTAGGTTTTAGTCATGTTCTCCTTTGATGATTTTCTTGTTTGGCATACAGTTAGACTTGATATTTTATAAGTTATTCATTGGATTTGATATCCCTCCCACTTATGCTGTTTTCATTATGGAGAGACAGGTCTGGCTATACTTCAGGAAAGTGTAACACATGCTCTTCTGTTATTTCTAAACATGTAGAGTGGAAATCCTTAGTTCTGTTGATTACATGAAAAACTAATTCATGCAGTAGAGAGGTTGTCACAGTGTAAAGTGACAGTAAATGAAAGTATTTCTCAGGAAAGGGAGACTTTGGCTACATCTGCCCATTTTTAATTCATGAGATGATTCCAGAGGCATAGGTGAGTGTCATGGAGGAAACCTTCCTGAAAGTCCTGTTGTATGAGACCTCAGTTACATCTGCACTGCTCCACTGGTTAGGTATGCATGTGCAAGGAACAGAGAGGCACAGACGAATTATTAACAGATTTACATCCCAGTAACACATTTGGGGAAAGAGGCTAAAAACTGATAGTAAAACAGGTAACAAATGCTAATTATCAAATCCAAGACAGCATCATCTTATTCTGACTCAAACTACATTACCTTTCCATCTCAGAGAGTTACTAGTTAGTCAACCTCAATATAGCATTTACCAGGTTAGGCAAAAAAATTATCTGTTAAAGTTGAATTTTACCCTGCTATCTTTCAAATAAACATTCATGTAAATATTCAAAACATCCATAGACACAGACTATTCAATTCCCTGTGCCATATTCAGTAAAGTTTTCCACAGATGGAGCAAAGGTATAACCTATGGCTTCTATTTTGCCTTTGGTTTCATTTTGTATTTCATCCATCTTTTAGGGAACTTATGTGAAGAAAAC